GAACTTTGCCAGAATACTACCTATTAAAAATATAGATATAACATCTTGTGAAAATTTGAACGAAGTCGGAGAGGGTCGATTTTGGTCGAATTTTTGTTGCCGTGTACTCCCCCACATGGTGAAACCTCATTTTTGGGTACATTTTGGCCTAAAACTCAAAGGGGGCTCAGGTTTAACCTTTATCTCAAAACAGTTTCTAATGTATTTTTTAATGTAGAATTGGAATTTCATGTTTAAAGTTATAAAATAATGGCAATTTTTTCAGGACGATCATTTTTTTGGTCCGAAAATAGCTTTTTTGCAAAAAATTGAAATTTTTTCAGGGAAGATGGAAGAATATAGATATAATGCCAATACAAAAAATGTTCAAAATAGTACCTAAAAACGTTCTACAATAAGACCTAATCATTATTTCACTTTTGAAAATAAAAAAATTTTTAGACACCTGTCTGACGGTTCCGCTGGGCATCTATCCGAGGAAATACGGTTTATAGGAAAATTTTACAAGGAAATTCTAGAAAATGTAGTAAAGAATTCATCGATATTTAAAAATCGTTCAATTTTCTCAGTGATATAATGTTTTTGATATAATGTTTCAGTAAATTTCTATGAGAACACATCCAAATAGAGTGATACCGTAGTTTAGTATCTGGGAATTTGGAGAAAGCGAGACTCTAACTCAACTCTAATAGAGGTTTCACCGTAGATTTGACTCTAAAAAGTTGTATGTCCGATACTCTCGAGATTTTTGTGTTGAGAACCTTGAAAATGGACTTCTCAAATCCCATTAGTATCATTCTGAATATTAATCTCCTCCAATTCTCTGAATCCATCAAATCACTTTCCTCATCAGTAACCTCAACTTCTCCACGTCAATCATATCCATGCCTACTGTAACACATCTTCTAATCACCGTTTCTTCTTCTTACTCATTACTTTTCTTTTCCTTCCTACTTTTTTTCTAGCCCACCTTCGTTTTCACTTATCACTGTCCCTGATCTCCTCTTACAACTAAAAAGAAAAACGAAGAAAACGATTTGAAATAGGTAAACCGACCCGCGGCCTTGAAAAGCCGTTGTTGTAACCCAAATGGCTTGTGAGATGCTTTTCTTTTTGAAAGCCTTTTCAACGTTAACTTTCCCATCGAAAAACGCATAGTACAAGCCGTTGACGACCTACTTCATTGTCTATTTGACAAGGTCAAATTGGCTGTTATTTGGCTGTCGCACAGACATAAACATCACTCGATCACTCAGCGGGAGAGAAAAGGGACAACGCCTGGAAATTATGCAAAACGGAATAATAATATTGTTTTTCAGAACTGATGCCGGTGGCAGCAAATATGAGGGGATACGCTAGGAATCCAGTGACTGTTCCGAAGTAAGAAAAAGAAAACAAAAAGAGAGATTTGAGAGTTTTCATTTTCAGTACATTCCTTCTCTCGTCTGAGGTCTACGAAAAAGATACCCACAATTTTTTGCCCAGAATGAGAAGGATTTATGAGTATCTAATCGATCAAGTGAGGTTTTTTAGAATGGTTCAAATCAAGATGACACTTCATTTCAGATTTATAGTGGGCCAGTAGCTAGTTCATATAGTGAGGCATCTGGAAAACTGTTGGGAGTGGATGGTGCTACGAAATCAAGAATATTCGAGGAATCGATTCTGACAGTCAATGATTTTCCGGATACATTCAGTTTCATTCAACCACGTGGATCCGATTTGATTCGGGTTGGAGAGCATTGTGCATCCAGCAGAAATTTGCCGTCGGAATTCCGAAACTTCGCAGAGGATCCGATATCAAAAGGAACGATTTACGTAGCATTTGGGTCCTATGTGAATTTAGAAGATGGACCAGAGGGAACAGTTGAGGCATTCATCGAAGCATTGAACTTCTTTGAAGATTATAGAGTCATTTGGAGTCACAAAGGAAATGTAAGAAACTTTGAAGGTTTATCGTTAGTAAAATTATATATTTATTCAGGTTACCGGTGTCAAATGCCACGTGAAACTTGTTAACTGGGCTCCCCAAAAAGAGATTTTAGCTCATGAGAATACTGTAGCTTTCATAACTCATGGTGGTTTGAAAAGTGCAAAAGAAGGCGTTTGCTCTAGTGTTCCAATGCTATTTCTTCCATTTTACGGCGATCAACCACGAAATGCTCATCGTTTTGTTACAAATGGAATCGCTGAAGCACTCTACAAAAAGTCAATTACAGCGATTGATATAAAACAGAAATTGGAAAAACTTCTAGAAGATGAAAGTTATAGAGCAAATGTTGCAAAGGTGAGGGATTGTCCGGTGACAATACTTTAGTCTAGAACTTGAAAAGGAGCTTACTGCGGATGTATATTTTGTATATCTGGTTTGAGCGTTGGGATAACCCCAGATTAAGGCTGTTTTTTGACATTTTTTGATTGAAAAAATAATTTGATGAACATGTTGGACAGAGATCAATTTCTAACCATTTATGATTTTCTCCAGTTGAAGTTGATAGTCCTGAAAACTAGGAATTATGTAAGCAACATTTCTCCAATTTATATCCGAAAATAGCATACTTGAAGAATTAAAGTCTGGCCTGCTGGGCCCAGGTTTTCCATTTTTCAAAAAAAAAGACTGGAAATTTCAGAAATAAAGAAGAAAACATATTTTGATGACACTTCGTTCTTGGCAAGCCTTTTATTTGACAAAAATTGTTTTTTTACTCCAATAATTATTTGAAAAGACTGAAAAAATTCCTGAAAAGCCGGTCCCAGACGGGCCGGATGGGCCTTGAAATTTTCGGATAAAATGCCCGGCCCGTTCCGGCCCGTTGCATGTATGAAAAATAACAGATGAATAATGACTGACTTTATGAAAAATAACAGATGAATAATGACTTAAACATTTTTTCAGGTAAGATCCTATTATCTGGATGCTCCAATGAGCTCCCTTGACCTTGGCGCATTTCACATATCCCGTGTACTTCGTCACCCGGAATCTCACTTCGTTCGTTTCAAACGAAGATCCATCTCGATGAATCATCTACAGTATCTCAACATTGACATTTTCCTTATTATCCTTATTGTCTCTTTCCTTATCTTCAAAGCATAAATACTATTAAAATCCGTTGTATCCTTGACGTCTTCTTATTTAATACTCTCTTTTTTTTCAATTTTAAGTCCGAGTTCAACCACCGACGATCAGCCGATTACTGGGGTTGAAGAGGTGTTGAAATTAAATAGTCTAAATTCGGTTCATTCGAAAAAATTTCATGTTCATCCTCTCGTTCTTTTTTGTGTCTCGTTTCGTTTTAGTTTATTGTGATACAGGTAGGAAAGTGCATTACTTAAAAAAAAGAAAGATCTCAAATTTTAGATGATCATATCCAAGAGTTCCTTCGAAACAAAACGTTCCACGATGTCATCGGATGTAAGATTGGTATTTACTATGTTTTAGTATGAGAATAATTGAAGTTTCAGTGAGTCAAAAATATCAAAGAACGAAGTATCTCGAATCTCAGCAGAAGCTATCAGATGAATCACAGGCTCGTCTTGTTCTGGCAGATGAAACAGTAATGCCTTGTGATGCAAATTGGCATCAGTATGCGGATAATGGTTGTTGCTATCGGGTAAGATGATTTTGGGTCAAAATAAACCGATGTAATTTTTCCGGAACGTTTCTAAAAATACAATTTATTTAAAATAAAACTTTTTTAACGCTTTTTTTCGGTTGGAATTCACAACGTTTCGAAAAAATCCATCTTTCTTATATATAAAACGCTAGATGCGTCTGTCCGTCCCGATGTCAGTCTGTCAACTTTTAAAAAGCTTGAAAAATAAATATAGATTTACGTGATCCAAAAAGTGAAGAGCGAAGCTACGAACCAGTAAAAAACTAGATTGAATCGCGCCGAAGGCACACCAGCTTGCTGGTGTTTAAATGAAAAGACTGGGCCAAAACGCTACAACTCTTTTGCAGATATCTGACGAGAAAAGTGACTGGTACGGTGGTACAAATATATGCAAGGCTTTGAACCCAGATGCTCACATGGGCTCTTTTCACAGTCAAGCTGAATCTCTCTTCTTTGCAAACAAGTATACCTCAATCCATGCCTGGACTGGACTCTCTCAAACTGTATGATCCTCAAACTTTGACATTTCTGATGTTTCATTCGTTTTTAGGAAGTGCCAAACACGTGGACATATACAGATGGAACACCTGACTGGCATTGGTTTCCAGCCCTTACAGCCACCCCATCTTCTGCTGATTCCAGTTGTGTTGAAATGATGGATGGTCTCTTGGGACTTTTGTTTGCACTTTCACTTCAAAAAGGGCAGACAAATCCATACAGTTGTACTGAAGTGAATCAAATAATCTGCAAGTATTGCCCAAAAGAAACAACGTCTTCAACAACTACTACAACTACTACAACTACAATTCCAACCACAACTCCTAAAACTACCACAACCACAAAATCCACGACCAAAACAACTGCAACAACTCCATCCGTTCCTGTATCATGTTCTTCAACCTGTCCTGGACAATCAATTGGTATCAATGGTAAATGTTATAAGGTATTATGTTTTACGGGAGACATCCGGAGTTACCTCCAAGTTACGGTTCATGATCATAATTCATAAAAAATTGATTCATAAGGAAAAAAAAGTATTTTTTATTGTATGTTTCAGATGTGTCGTGGTTCTGTAAAGTTTGAAGACAGCTGCACTTTGTGTGGCGGAACAACTCCAACAATATACAGCAAAGAAGAAAATGATTTCATTTCGAGTTAGTGTTCTTTTCTTATGCAAATCCAATTGAATTCGCTATAGGAGTATTCGGTGCAAATGATGCTACGCCTTCACGGACCTGGATTGCCAACACAGCAACGAACGGATATCAAAACTGGGCAGATGGACAACCTTTGAGACCATATGAATGGGTTCGATACTGTATTGCAATGGATTTATCTGCGGGACCGTCCAGAGGAAAACACAGCTATTTACCATGTGCTGATAATGTTGTCACTTCTATTTGTTTAATGAATCCTTGATTTTTTTTTTCTAGAAAGCAAAATGAAATTTATTCGCATACATTCTGAAGAAAAATCAAATTTTCACTGGGCAGTTACAGTTTGAGAATGCTCGTTTGATGGCTCAAAAATGAAAAGAAACTGTCAGATTTTACTGGAATTTTGAAAAACTTTTAAAGGCTTTTTGTTTGCAACTGGTTGCATATAATTTTCACTGTGCATCGTATTGTACAGGCAAGGAGCATCTGACTTAAATTGAACGAGCGCCGGAGCGCCACCTACTAAATATAAAACAAAAATGTTTATTATTATACAGTGCGTTCTTGCGTCCACCCGTCCACCCGTGTTTAGGGGCATAACTTGAGAGCTGTTAGAAGTATTGGCCTAATTTTTTGAAAATGGGATTCTAGTGGACATTTTTTGTAATGAAATCTTGAAAACTACCCGAGTTATCTGGAAAAGTCTGAAAATATGCCTTTTACAAGTTTATATGTCCACTTCAAAGATCAGTGGATCACGACCTCCAGCGGAGGTGTTTTGATTCTTTCTTCTTGGATACGGGCTTGGAAAAAAGAAAATCGAAAATGTAAAAAAATGCTTTAGTGAAAAAATTCAAATATGGATATTCCTGAACATCATTCTTATAATAAATAAATGAAGTTGCGTCTCTTTGTCAATCTGTTTGTACGCACACGTGGAAAAAGTTGAAATAAATTAGAATTTTGAGTAAGACAGAGGAGCGAAGCGACGAACAGTAAAAGAAATAGGTTGATTTGCCCGAAGGCGCACCAGCCAGCTGTTTGAAGCGCCGGAGGCGTGGCAAACAGGCTGGTATCAACAAAAATTATGAAAAATGACAAGTTTCAAAAGTGTACTGATTAGCCAGACTTTCGTCTGTTGATCCCTTTCGCCACGTAGAGGCTCAGTACATGAAAGGGAAAATGGGTTTTCACTGGGGGAAAACACCAACACAAAACCCCTGTCTCCGAGGAGACAGCTTTCTAATTTTCAATAGCTCTTTTTCACTCCTAAAAAGCTATACGATCGCTATTTATTGTTTTTGTTCATTTGTTTCTTTTTTCTTTGATTGAGTCTTTTGCAAAAGGGGGACGTTCAGTGAAAATGATTTCACCTAGCCATGATCCACCAAACATGGCGACCCTTTGGGTCTTTTGTGACTTTTTTCGCATCCGACTAAACGAAAGAAAAAAGCAAATGAAACAATAAACAGCTTACGCAGGGAGCTTCAGATCAGTCAAAAAGTGCTAGTGAAAATTATCAAACTAATTCTAAAAGTGGGATTTCTCAAAGGACTTTTTTTCAATACGTGGAATTTTTCTATGTGGACAGAGGTAGAGGGCGTGACCTAATATTGATTTAAGTTTATTCCGTGACGTGTGAAAAGTAAAAAAAAACTCGAAAATTGAACGTAGATTTACGTAACCCATTAAAAAAGTGAAAGAATAAGGACGAACGAGTAAAAACTAGGTTGAGTCGCACTGAAGGCGCACCATCTGTTGTTTTGTTTATTGGACAATTATCTCAGTTCCGATAAAATATACTGAAACCACTAACATTTTATTTGTCATCTAATTAAATGTTAGTGGTACAAACGGTGATAATTTTGTCAGATACTTTTTTCAGAATGAAAAACATTCATGATGAGGTTATTTTGGTAGATCATGTTAAACTTTAACACCTTCCCCCAGTTGGATCCGATGCACTTTTGAAAGAAGTTGAGACAACGTACTTTCTGATCGACGGTAGGCGTCGGAGCTGCGACCATAATTGCTCTTTTGATGCTTGGATCATCTTTGAGACATCTCTAACCCGTCCAATTGATGACTTCAAGTTTCAGCTCCTGGTTTGTACCATTACACGACTTCAAAGAGTTTAAAACGACGGTAATGGTAGAGGGTTGGGATCTTGAGGGCAGGATTTGAGCTGATCCTGTTTTTTCGTTAATTTTGAAGTTATTTCTGAAGAGCTTGAAAATCAAATACAATTTGAGACCACCTTTAGAAAAGCGACGAACAGTGAAATGCAAAAGTCAAATAGCGCCGAGGACGCACCAGCCACCAGCGCCGGAGTTGCGGAAAACAGATGGCTGGTATGATAACTTGTTGTAGCAGTCATTTTCTATCGAGATAAAAAAGAGCATTTAAATGTTACATTTAAATGAAAGTTTTCCTTTGCGGTTAACAGATTCACCTCCAGCAGATTTTCGTTTGGAAACTGTGACTTGATTCAAGAGAACGGTCCGTCGACAAGCCGTCAACGACCCGCTCGCATCGCCAAGGCGGCGAGTAGACGGTGTCCACCCGTTCGAGAGAAGGTTTTATCTGAGTTAACATGATAATCTGCAAACTACTCCCTTTCTATGAATAATTTCAGAAAAGTTCCACTTTGAATTCGTTTCTTTTTGTGACTCAAATACGGTTTCACTTAATCTTTACTCATGATGTAACAGTTTTGCTAGGAAAATCGTGTCGAACTTTGCGTCTAGTCCTTTTGAAACCAAAAGATTAGTGGGTGGGAAAACCAATAGATTGAAATATTCAAGAAGACATAGAAAAAAAATGACATATAGTCTATATATTCCATGTATCTACCGGCAATCTTTTTCTTCTTACTTTTTATTAATGTTTCCTGTAAACCAAATGCTAAAAGCCGTTAGTTCAATAAGTCAAAAAATGGGCTGGTCCACTACTAATTTCAGATGATCACATCGAGGAATATCTCGAGAATAAAACCATGAATGATGTCTACGAGAGTATGTTATACTTGTTTTTAAACTGAAATCTTCTATTTTTTAATTCAGTAAGCCAGCAATATCACAGAGCAAAGTATCTGGAAGTTCAAGAAAACGAGCACTCAAAAATTGGAGGAGCAGTACTTTCTGATGCAGCACAGCCTAATTTGGTTCTGGCAGATGCGACTTTACCTTGTGAACCGAACTGGCATCAATATACTCCAACCGGTTGTTGTTTCAGAGTGCGTTTATAACCGTCAAAATTATAAAATCACCATGAAAACTCAAAAGATGCCTAAACACTCAAATTTAACGCCCCCAAAACATCGTCTATGAGCTTATATCATATATCTATTTTCCTGTGAAATATATGAAAATTTGGTCAACTGACAAAATGTTGCTGATGATGAGCATTTTGTTAGTTGATTACTTTTAGATATCTTTTACAGAAATCGAGATAAACTGACTTAAAATTGAAACTAGGGGTGGCGTTCTATTAGAGTGTTTATGGTAATTTATTTCAGAAATCAGACGCAATGAGCGAGTGGTACGGTGGAACCGAAATTTGTAGAGCACTCCATCCAGAAGCTCAAATGGCATCGTTCCACAGTCAAGCCGAATCGGAATTCGTATGTAAGAAATACTCTGCGATTCATGCTTGGACTGGACTATCACAAACTGTAATTCCCATCTCTTCCAAAATTTCTTTTCAACAAAAATATTCAGGGTACTCCCGGTGTTTGGACATACACTGATGGCACTCCCGATTGGCATTGGTTCTTTGCTCAATCCAGCACAATGACTCCAGAATCGAGTTGTGTTGAAATGATGGATGGAATTCTAGTGTTATTATTCTCTTGGTCTGCCAAAAAAGGACAAACACAGCCATACACTTGCACCGAAAGTATTGCGAGTATCTGCAAGTATTGTCCAACGACAACAACTACGACTTCAACGACGACTTCAACGACAACAACGACTCCTACGACGACCACGAAGATAACAACCACGCCAACTACAACTACAACAACGGCAACTACCACGACTCCAACAACTACAACAGAGACTACAACGACTCCTACGACGACCACAGTAACGACAACGACGCCTACCACAACTACAACGACTCAAACAACTACTACAGAAACTACAACAACTCCAACGACTACTACAGAGACTACTACGACTCCAACGACTCCAACAACTACAACTATTACTTCGTCCACGTCTATAAAAATCACCACATCAAAGTCAGCGATTTCTTGCACTACTTCAAACTGTCCAGCACAATCTGTCAGCTTCAACAATAAATGTTACAAGGTAACCTGCATCAATAAATATTTATTTCATTTTCTTTTATTTTTCAGATGTGCCGAGGTTCCGTCCAATTTGCAGAAAGTTGTACTTTGTGTGGAGGAACCACTGTAACAGTTACCAACAAGGAAGAAAGTGACTTTATTTCTAGTGAGTACTGTATTACGTATTCTTTAAAACATTTAATCCATCTCAGGGGTCTTCGGAGAAAATGATGCGACAATTTCTCAGAGTTGGATAGGAAATACAGAGACTAGTGGATATTTGAACTGGGCAGATGTGCAACCTTTGAAACCAAATGACGGATTAAGCTACTGTATTTCAATCGATCTGTCCGCAGGACCTTCAAGAGGAAAGTACAATTATCTACAATGCGCAAGCAATGTTGTTAGCTCGATCTGTGTGGTGTAACCCCTTGATAATAAATCTTTCAACTATTCTAGAGAACAATACATTGTTTCCGTGTCAACAAAAGGTGATAAACAAGATATATTCTAGGTTACTCTGATTCATGGTATTCGGTATTCAAATTTGCACCGAGTACACCGTAGAGGAACACTAGATCTATTCCATTTCCCCTATCAACATACGCCCTCAACTGTGAAAGCGGCACGTGAATTCCATGAAAGTTTCGATGAACATGTATTAACTCCGAGCGGTCAGAAGGCGTCAGCAGAATTTGCATGAAATTTATTCAAATATTGAACTAATGGAAAACGATAAATCAACGACCAAACGGAAAACATGGGAATGTTGAAATCTGACAACTGGATACTGTAATACAAATGAATAAGAAAGTATCTCATAAGAATTAACCTTCTCCTGGCTATTATAGAAACTGATCTAGGAATTTAGTGAAACTTATTTTGAATACCTTTGAAAATAGGCCAGGTGTCATGAGAAAACGCCTACCTAGAAAACTGAAAATCAATCTAATGGATCCATACTTTGAAGTCACATTACCGTCCTCTAATACAGGATCCCACAAAAAATCACCAACTTTGAGCTGAGTAATCTCGATTCCTGTGAAAGATATTAAAAATTTGTGAACTGAAAAGTTGTTCGTCATAATATCGCCAATAAATCATTCATTGACACCATTTTGATATCTCTCACAGCAGTTGAGATAATTAAGCTCGAAGTTGATGGTTTAGGTGAGCTTTTATTCGAGGAAATGCGGTATATCTAATTGCTATTCTGAATTGAATATTTTCAGTTCAAAACTTTGCACTGGTCGTTCATAGACCAGCACTGTCATAATCATAATCGTTCGTCACCTGCATACACACGAATTTCTATCTTCCTTTCCTTCTCTTCTACTGGATAATATTTCCAGACCCATCCACAGATTTGCATAATAGAGTTTGTTTTGATTCAATATAAAAGGAAGGATGGTGCAAATTGTGTCAGTTGTGGCTCTATCAAAACACTCAAAAAATACGATGATCCTCTCGTGCGTTCTGTTTCTTATTTCTGTCACTCTCCTCTCATTTGCCGAAGTTAATCCTTGTGATTCCAATTGGCACTACAACAATAACACTGGTTCTTGCTATAAGGTTTTTGGTATTGAGATCTTCATAAACTTACTTTTACAAATTTCAGACTTCTACTGAGATGGGAACCTGGTTTGATGGATCGGCCATCTGTGAGAGAATGCATAAAGGTGCACAATTAGCATCACTTCGAACTGAAGAGGAATCAAAATTTGTGGCTAAAGTGCACAGAAACGGACTGGATGGAATTCATGCCTGGACTGGACTTTCTCAAACTGTAAGTTTCTTGTTTTTTCAACTATTTTTTTAGCTAAAATATTTTCAGAAAACTGCCAACAACTGGACATTCACAGATGGATCCAAGCCGTGGTTCACTTTTGTATCCCCTTATCTATTCCCCAGCAATCTCACAAGTTGCGTCGAAATCCTTGACAACTGGCTCAACGAACTTTTCCAAAATAGTGGAAAAACTCAACCCATTTTTTGCTATCACTACCGTAAAGCGTTGTGCAAGTACTATCCGGCTCCTCTTACTCCTATTAAAACTACAGTAAGAACACCAGCTGCCCGAATCGAGAAGGCTCATCCAAGAAGCGTCCAATCTGAAATAGTTTCTGGATATTCTGCTGGGACCGTTCAAAACCAAGGAGCTGATAAAAAACCATCGAATGCTGGTCCAGTTTCTACTTCTGTCCACACTGGATCTGCATCTAATAAAACTGGGACACCATAAATGCATTTGAAACTATGATCTTTTTCTTTTTCTTTTCAATATGAAACATTTATTCGTAACTTGTATTGAGAAAAAAAGTTAAATCATGAAATTGGAAAATCATATATTCCTAAAAAGCTTTTATCTTCATGCAGACGCAATTGGGGCCATTTGTTCTCTCAAGAATTGAGTAATTCTCTCCTTATGCTTCGACATCGATGGAACCAGATGACCTCCTTCGTGAGCTATCCGGATTGGTTCCATATCAAATTGGTCGGCTAGTTTTTCGCTTTTTGGTCTCGCAACGATTTCGTCAGAGTCACCGAAAACATGCATCGAGGGAAAGTCTTTGATTCGGAGTGATGTCAACGTGTCGTGTTTGCTGGACAGACTCAAAAATCCAGAGAAGAAAATAGCGAACCGTATTCCAGGAAGTTTGATTTCTCCCAGTTGCGCCTGAAAAGTTTTGTATAATTTAAAAAAGTTAAACCTAGCTTTTTCTACCTTTGCAATAAGTAAATGAACCATGGAAGCTCCCTGACTGAAGCCTAGTAGTCCATCAAAAGGTCCATTGTCTTCTATGAATTTGACTACCGCATTTACAGATTCATCGAATCCAACAGATACATCAGTGGGTTCTCTAGAGGAAAAGCTCATCTGATCTGCATTAGAGAACCACCAAGCGCGACTAGTTTCGGAATCTGAAAATGGAAAGGAATCTTGAGAGTCAACGAGATAAAACATACGTTCATCAACAGCTACCGAATGAATTCCGTTGACGAATTCGAAATCAGCTAAAGCTTTGACGAGTTTCCTAGTGGACCCGGTTTTCTGTCGGAATGATTGGTCGCACTGTCTGTAGCCATGAAGGCAGAGAATCCGAAGCTTCGGTTGGGACGACATTCTTCTGATTGATTAAAGATTTAACAAGAAAAATCACATAAGCTGGGGAAGATATTGAATCGTGAATAACAATTGTTATTGACAAGTGACATGATAAATATGTATCAAACTTTATTTTGGATTACTAAATTCAACAAAAAAAAACACGAACACTAAATAATGTTATTCTCTGCTACTTTTCTGCCTGAGATCTGTTAACCATCTTGGGGTATTCTTCGTTCTGGTAACATTTTCTTCTCGTTCTTCTTTCACATTCCCAAGCACGCTGGCACTTTTACTCAATGATCGGTAATCCATTCCGTAATCTGCTTCTCGAAACAGTTTATCCATTTCTTGCCCCATCAACAGACTCTTATCTCCAACGAACTTCAATTCCGGACACGTGATTCCAGTCGATTCACTAACTTGCCGTTTGATTTGATGTTTTGATGTTTCCAGAATCTCCACGACTTCTTGATCTCCTTCTCCTCTACACATCCAGTAAACAGAAACTTGAGTAAACCCTCGATCAACACGAACACGTGTGATGTGTAACTGCAGTTGTCCGAGTATGTCATCTGTCGAAATTACCTCTCCAATTCGTTCTTCTAGAATTCGACTCAGTTGAACTACTTTCTTGTCGTCCAGACGTCGTTGTTTTGTTCCTAGAGACACTAGAAGAAGGCGATCTTCGAGACCCATATCGATTCCGAATCGTGTTCCCATTGTCTTTTGAAACGTTTTACCGATCGCCTGGAATGTTCATGGATGAGCGAAACGATCTTGTGACATGTCTTAATAGCTATTTTGGGTTGAAGAAAAACTTAAACCTTATCATATCTCCACTCGAATTTCGACAGGACAGCATTACCACATCCTCGTCCTGTTTTTCTGTTCACATAGTTCCTCGGCCCTTTCAGCGCCACAGAACTGGTTGATATGAATCGGACACCGCTTTTGAACATCTGAATTCTTTAACTGTATCTGCTGGCACTGTTCTTTTCATATAAGAAATATGCTCAAGGATCATTTTCCCCATAGCCAATAGAACAATGTAGAGCTAATCAAAAATGTAGCTTTATTGGTATGTTCGAATCGATAAGACAGACTTAAATAGTTTAATTGGACAGTTTTTGAAACATTGATTTGTTTTAGGACCTTGTATTTTTGGAGGTCCGAATTTTTTTTTCGAAAGAGAAGAAATACATAAATTGGAATGCTATCGAATCGAACGGGGCGAGGTGAAAAGAATGAGGGAGGCATAAATAGGTGAAGAACAAAAAGAATAAGAGAATAAATATAATTGACTGAAAAAGGGGAAAGGGTGAAAATGGGCTTTTTTTTATTACGAAAGCTCGCTCAACTTGACTACAAAAATGAACCGAGGCAGCAGATTTGCCAATCAATATACATGAGAATCAAAGTACGAATTATGAATTATGAAACAAGAGAGCGTAACTGAAACTGAGATTATATACAAGAGAAAATGTATAGATTATTCTTCCATTTCATCGTCCTCGTTTATAGCTCCAAGTCCTGGTGATGGGCCTCTCTGTACTCCTCTTCCACGACGAGCCGGAACTGCTTTAGGCCGATTCGCCAATTCACCGAACACACTGTTGCCTTCAGTACCTCCTCCTCCTCCTTCAATTGCATCCGGATCTTGGGTTCGTTTCCAGAACTCGTTTTGCTCATCCAAATTTCCCATCTTCAGACCACGGGGAAGAGCTTGACTTCTGTTGAGTACTATGAAATCAGACATCCATGACCGTTTTGAACGATCTTGAATTATGTTCAATCCCTTAAAAATAAACAATTAAATTACAGGATCGATAATGAAATATCCACTTACATTTTCGTTTGCAATATGAAGCAAGAAAGAGACAATTGATGATGGTCGTACATTTTCTCCCATTTTGGAAGGCATAGAAAGAGCCAACGAGAGGAGAGTATGGCATCCTCGAATTTTGACTTGCCGATTCTCGGTATTTGCGGTACCATACTCCGATGTAGTAGGTTTATCCGGAACCACTTCTTCTTTTTCTTCCTCTTTGTAATCTGGCACTTCGGTCAAGGCTTTCATAATTTCTCCTATGTTATGATTGGAAGTAGTTGGGGAATGATACTCGAAGACGGATATAAGAGTTTTGTCAGCTTCGAACGATCGTTCTGGTGATGGTGTCTCGCGGATAGTTGGCTCAGCAGGTACCACTGTGGTGTTATTGAGACGACCATTATTCCCTACAGACAACTGTTCAAGGGCATACTGAATCGATGGCATTGAGAGTTTGTCAGACTTCAAGATTTCTGCCAAACACTTTTTATGTTTTGCCGCGTCAAGATTTTTGGCTTGAATAGTTTGTCGATCGAAAGACTGCAATTTTCAATTTAATAATACAATTACAATGTTTGGCTTACATCGTCGAATTCATCGACCGTATCGTCGTCCTCTCGTTCATTCAATATATCTCTCAAAAACATCATTTTGCTGATCTGATTGGTTGTCAGAGCAAACTTCTTCTGTAAAACCACACTATCATAACTAATCGCAGGATTCATTCAGTTTTACCTGCATCTCAGGGCCCATTTGAGCAGCTGCGAGTTCTTGGTCATGACGAGGATCATATCTGTCGTATTCCTGAAAAATTTAATACTCTCAAATGTCACAGTCATCGTTAGAAACTATTTTGGGTTAACTACAGAATAGAACATGCTTCAAAACTAGTCTTAACAGGGCACTTACAAACAGATCATCGACATCATTATCGTACGGTTGAACAACCTGCGCTTCATTATCTCCACCGAAACTCTCATCAGAAACAGCCTCTGGGTTTCTGTAAATTTTAACCGAATTAAAATAGATTTTCAGTTTTCATTAACTCACTCCATGCATTTGAATCCGCTGAAAGTGGCCAGCCAATTGAGACAGTCCGAGTCTTTATTTCCTTTCGTTTCATCAATATAAATGTCTTGTTCATTCTTGTACTGCTTTATTCTCTCAAGTTTAATCTTGCCGTATGATTTCTGAAAACAATAATTTTGATATATCTAAGAAGCGAAAAAGTACAAACCTTGTAGAAAAGACCATTGTTTCCGAGAAGACCCATTTCAAAGGCAACATGAGGTTTGTTTTCGAGACCAAGTGTTGGTAGATATAACTGTTGTTCTGTCAAGAACGTTGATTTTTCATCAGCAATTTTGATGCATTTTACAGCTGTCATCTCTCGTTCGAGTTCATCAATTGGGATGTCGCGGAAGTAATGAACGAAATCTTCAACAGTGGCTTTACGACTCTTTGACTTCTTCTCACGACGCTTGCGCTGTGCTGCGACTGCATTGAATTTTTCCTGATCGGCGATTTCGGGTGCGGTCCAGTGGGCATTGTCGTTTCTTCCAATATTTCTTATTTCATCTCGCATTTCCGCCGTTGGTCCCACCATTTGCTCTGGTGGAGCAGATGTCATTAACTCCGCGACTTCATCGTTTCCAAGAGCAATTCTTTCGTAGCCTTTTTGAATGTCGCGTTCGTTTCTAACTTCAGCTTCTACTCTGAAATATAAACATGAAAAATTATAAACTGACACTTGAAACTTACTCCTCCATCTGATCATTGAAGATTATATCAGCAACATCATCACTGGCTGCGGTTTTGATCACAGGAGCGACGATATCATCAAAATCGGCATGAGCAAGTCCGGCATCGAAGTCAGCGTTGAAGTCTACACCACCAGCATCGAAGTCAGCATCTTCGATAGGTTCCAAGTCATCGTCTACGTCTTTATCTTGCTCCCTAATCTTCTTTTGAATCTGTTCCAATGGTATATCATCAATGTCTTCCTCTCCTGACCACATTTTCATGACGTCCGCCTTATCTCCCGGTTGTTCCTTGTCTGCAGTCCGATCTGCCGGATAACCGTTTGTGTATTCTTCTGATCTGACTAAAAAGTAACTTTTTCCGATGTCTGGAGCTAGGTTTCTGTGTGAATCTTGCTCATCGATCGCTGTTTCGTCGAGTTGCATACGCGCATCCCGATTGACAATCATCTTAACGACGTCATAGTTTGTCCAAGCGTCGGTAGCTTTAATCCACCCATCCATTCCGGACTGAACTGCACTACGCGTATCGCTTTTCATCACTGCTTCATCATCATCTCCCCATTCCTCGGCACGTAGACCATTTTTCCAGACTTTTGAATCAACCGCATCAGACGATTTTGCACTTTCAATTTTTTCTTCAAAGATTTGCACAAGCTTATCCATTTCCATTGGATCATGCGGGAGTTTACCAATCAGCGATTCTTCGAGTTCAAGCTGAAAAAATGGAGCATTTCAAAATGCTTCGTGTTTTCAATAAAATACCTGCTTCATGGTTGGTGGGACGTAGTCATCATTAGAAGACGTGAGTGGGTTAACTGCAGAAAGTGTTTGATTGGCTGGATCGATCGATCCGTTGTCTTCGCCACTAGCAAGGGGTAACCCTTGGTGTCCTGGGAGCATCGACATATCCGATGCCCCTACAACTGTTGCATTCAAATTGGCTGCACGATTATTTGCATCGCTGTATGTCATATTGGTCAGATCTCTGTCATGAGAACCCTCCGCAAGTGGTAGGACCTTTTTCGAATCCTTGTTCATATCTTTGTATGTCCCAATGACAGGGCGTTCTTTGATCTCCAGCATCAAGTAGTTGTCCAGAATATGAGGCTTTTTCTCCAATGAGTTCTCCAAAAGAACGCGAGTATTTTTTGCAAGCCCAACAGACACATCTCCGGTGAAATATCGATCAGACTTATTTGGGTCAGTGACTCGAGAATGAAGGAAGAGAGTTCGTCCGTTCTCAGAATGCATTCCATAGTAGTTGAGCGAATGGAACGAGTTTGTATTGTTGTCTAGGGACCCTTTCGTTGCCTTCTGGAACTCTGGATTTGTTCTCAGCCAGTCAATACTTGCATCCTTGATGTCATAAGCGGTTTCATCGGAAGTCACAAATGTGGAGTGTTTTTCTCCGATCAAGCCTCGAAACTCAGCAGTGCGATTGGTGACTAAAGCGTTGATAACTTCATCCACATCCTCATTCTCCAGGAACAGGTCAACGTCTTTAGAATTGGCTTTTACATCGACAACTGCTTCACCGCCAAGCGGTGGCTCTTCCTCCTCATTTTGTTGTGGCTCACCCTCGATGATATTCATGGCTTCTTCATCTCCCATATTCTTTAAATATGCGTTCATTCCAGTCACTCCATCAGCCACCGCCATTTTCTTTTTGGCTCTTCTGCTTTCCACCGTCAAGTGAACAGTTTCGTCATTTCCGTCTCCACGCGCGAGATCTCCTAGAATTAAAATTATTTAAAGAGAAACCGGAGAGCTTCAGGCATACCACTAGATAACATTTGATCCAAGCCTCTGACATCTTGATGGAGGCGGTCTACTCGATAGCCGATTATTTGTTGAGCAGTATCCAGAACAACTGACATATCTTGAATAGACGCATTTGCCTCGATCATTTGTTCGATTCCGTACAATTCCAGTGGTGACTTGTAATCGAAACAGTTAGTCATTCCCAGCCCTTTCTTTCTTTTTACAACTTCAATACAACTGTTAACATTTTTCATCACGTCGTTAGACACAACATCATCCTCCGAGATCTTCTTATTACCACGGACTTTCCTCATCGGTGTCGCACCTTCGAACGAATCATCTGCAGCTCCTTCTACTGCTGCATTTCTCTATAAAAGTTGAACTGCATATCAAGAGAATTTGAATAATTAATATGATCAGTGAAACGATTAACTCACTTTGCGTCGACCGGTTACATTGTTTAAGGTAGAGACATCCATCTCGCCTGAAAAAAGACCAATTCACACTAAAACTCAAAAAGACATACGCAAAGGAACAAAAAACAATAAGTTATACCTAAGATCACGCTCTCCCACAGAAAATTTCCAAACTGCAAATTAATTTTTGATCTACAGAAAAAAAGTTTGGCGCGATCACAATTGCAGGTCTAAAACCATAATTCCAGTATTTTTTTTCTCTGATTTTGTGGAGTTCCAAGATGATTCAAATGATTCTTAAAAAATTAATTAGTGGTTATAGATTCATGTATGATCGTTTTCGGGAAGAAAAAATGTCAAAAATGGTCATTTTTGAAAGTTTTTTACAGAAAAAATCTATCTCCTCTTTCAGTTTTTGACATTTCTAGGAGTTCTACAGCTCAAAAAAACCGCAATTATTTTCTCAACATTTTCTATGGATGAATTTTTAATTCGTCTGATAAAACTTTTTTTATAATTCAA